CCTTTAATTATTGTTAGTGGTAATTAAATGAAATTGTTTTTAATCAAGATGAAATATGAGGTTTATCGACGAAAAAAAAATATGAATTACATGACAATTATTATTCCAAATAATGTCTTGTTCATTATTTTTACAACTTGCTTTGACAATCACATTAACCTCAGCACGTTTTTCTTCATTTTTTCAATAAATTTTTAGGTACCCAATTGTTTTTCTATTTATATTGAATGGTTTTAAATAGAATTTNAATATTTTGCCTTTCCAATTCAATTAATGGCTTCAAAGAAGGTTAAGGGCAAGTTAGTTTGTAAACATGAACAAGGGGCTGTACAACACAAAATTTTTATTTAGTAACCAAGAGTAAGGTTTTCTGTAGGTCACATTAACGGTGCGCCCTCGTAATTCATTCGTTAATTCTGCAAAGTTGCACTTTTCTCATATTAATAAAAGTTGCGAGCTTCGGAGGGTGCAAACTAGATGCAATAAACAATAGTACGGTGAGTGCAGTAGCATAGTTAAGGACAAAAGAAATTTTTAAGAAAATCAGTCTAATTTACTATCCGAAGCCGGTCCTGTGCGTGAATTGGCAACATAGATATCTACCGAATAGCGTAATGCGATGAAAAGTCTACAGCTACATGGATGGAGAATGTAAACATTGCCGATTTTTTTTATCAAACGTGACAAACAATTTAGTATGTACACATAATGTTTAAACTAAATAAATTAAACAAGTACAGTGTATATGCACTTTTTTTTGAAACTAGCGACAGATTTCGGCTGAAAGTTAGTTTCAAGCAAGGCTCCTACTCGCTGCAAATGATAAGGATACAAAACAAATACTACACTGATGCTGGTCATCATCAGTTGATTGAGTGCAGCGTTGCGGACCGTATTTCTTTAGCAGGGTCGGAGTTGAATTTACCTGTATATTCAACTTTTTCTCAAAAATGATGAACTTTCGGACATATAAACATTTACTTAATTTTCATATTTTACAGTGCTCTATCACTTGCTGTAAGTCCAGGACTTATTTCTGTTACACCCTGTATAGCACACCTACAGTACACGCTGCTACTAGTCTTGAGGCGTCAAAAATCGTTAGATACAATGTTGCGTACCAGCAAGTGATTGTACAGGCTGTGATAAAAAATTTAATGATATAATTTTTCATCCGCCGTAACGGAAGCAAACTTTTATCCTCGATAGAATGTAGTGCGCCATTGCAGGTTTCACATTAACAAACTGGCTCGATGCCAACCCTTATATTGAGTAGGTAGTAGACTCTTTCTGAATCATCGGAAAGTTTTCTTCTGAACAAAGGTGGCCTTCGGACAGGGGTGCGGAACGTTTCGGTAATTAATCTAATATTACGACCGCATTGACATTAGGGTTGATTAGTGCAGCTTGACCGACCGATTATAATTAGATTTCTGCGGCCTTGGAACCACATGTTTTATCAGTGTTAGTGACCAATTCGCTCTAATAGTAACAGAACAAACAAAATTCATTAGGGGGGAAATCGAAATCTGATAAATTAACGACAGACAATCAAGAATTTGAGTCCTTTATATTCTACATCATTATAAGGTCGTCAGTCCTAACACAGGTTGGACACGCACCTCCACTCTTTACTCTTTCATATCCTGAGCTAGTTTTCGCATTTCCCTGAAACTAGAACATCCCACATCCTTAACTATTTCTCTACAATAATCTAATCTAGGTCTACCTCTCTATAACTCCTGTTTCTGCTTCTAAAACATCTCGACAACTACCCCTTCATGTCTGAGGCGGTGTCCTACCAACCTATCTCGCCTATATTTTACTAACTTCTACAGTGACAAAGTCTCTGTCCACGATATCCATTTTTTCTTGAATACAGTAATATATTATTGACATGACTTAAATTTATTAAGGATTTTAATTACTCACTTTACAATTAACGACAAAAATAAGTAAAACAAATAATAATTGATAGGTAAACGTATGGGGTTAATTTGGATAGAAAATTCTCTGGTAGGTGTTAGTAAATAGCAAACGATTACAATAGCACTTACTCTACTATGTATTCTTGTCCCACAGGACGTTCGATAATTCTCAATTTTTTTTTTCATTCAAGTTTCATTCGTTTTATTAGCTACGTTAATATTCCAACGTCCCTGCGAGTGTAGAGTTTCAACTAAGTTTTCCATTAAAAACTTTCAAATTGGAACATTCTATGATAGGTATACAATGTTGCAATGGAATTCTCTTCTTATTTTGTTTTTCATTAACATGAAAATTCGAAAGGCTTTAAGAGATAACAAATTTTCATGAGCGACCTTATTCGAATGCATTGCAACGACGAAACTTTGAATGGAGTTTTGATTAGATGAGCCGTTTTATATCGAGTTCGAGTTAAGTGGTTGGAAAGTGGGCTGTGCGTTCGATCACCTAGAAGGCGAGTGCTTTTTTAAAAAGTCGTCGTAATGCATATCCTTTCATCTGCGACGACAGGGCTAAATGATACCAATTTTACCGGGAAGGCCTACGAAAAGACTTGCGCTTACAATAATGAAAGCCTTTTAAAAAATTCTTATTTCCTAAAAGGGCTTATTGACTTCTGAGACGTATTTTCCGCCAGGAGAGAAATTATGGAAAATTAATATACTTAGGTACTAGGATAATTCCTTAATGTCAAAATAAAAAAAAAGCTTTATAAAATGCCATATCCTTGGTTTCCTGGAATATACTATATTTCGCGCTAAGAGGAATATAAAAAATATACGTTTAATTATACAACACGCTACTGAAGTGAAACGTCTTCAAACACACAAACATACCGGGATAGGGGTTAAGGAATTGGTTTAATGGTATTATTTGTACAGTATGCTTCGCACGGGTGCAATGCTGATAGTAAATATACTATAGAATGTCTTTATATACAATAATCACAGCTTTTTTGTCATTAGACATTACAAACCGGCCGGTACTGCCGCAACCGCTATGTCCCTGCATTTTAGTCTGTAATATCTTCGAAAATATTCATTTAAATTACATGCTGTAAAGGGCCATATTGATCTATATTAAATGCACGATGTATTTAAAAGTACTCAATTGGATAAGGATTAATGCTGTATTGCTTAAAATCGCTTCGTAAATGAGCCATTATTTCTCGTAAAAAGTAAAGGATAAAATATGGTTATTGTCGGTTATCCCTAAGAGATAGACATATACCACCCGGGACTTTTTTGTAGACCTTTTTAAGGTGTACAATACTGTAGTATATTATTTCGATCTATCTCGTATGGTTCAACCAGCGTTTGCAATGTAAACGCAAAAAAATATGTTTATTTACGACATCACAATGCAAACCTCTAAAATTATCAGTGTTTCTCTACTATATTATGCATATATTATACATATAAACCTTCCTCTTGAATCACTCTATCTATTAAAAAAAACGCATTAAAATCCGTTGCGTAGTTTCAAAGATTTAAGCATACATAGGGACAGACAGCGGGGGAAATACGTTGCAAGATTTCGTTACATAACAACTCGCATGAAACGAACTTACCCTACCGTGCGTAAAGAAGTTTAGCTTCAAAAAGGTTTCATCCATACATATGTATGTACCTATATAGATACGACAAGTCCCACTAGGTTTTTCAACATCGGCATATCTGGAGGCGAATTTTTCTTATTTCATTTCCCAATGCCTGAAAAGCACACTCCATTAAACGCACGCACTTTCCGTCGAAGTGGAAGCGGGTTCAGTCTCGATTAAAGGCTAAAGGTCGCACCTAGAGTAAGGGGGAGGGGGGTTACACAAAAGAAAATATTACTATGATATTACAGACAGTAATTTAGTAACTCGACAACGTCAGGAAGCAGAAATTAATGTGGCTGTCTAATACCTAAACTACATTTTTGAAATTTCAAATGTATTTGTGTGACCAAATATACAAATTTAGAAAAGTAATTAAAGTTTTGACATAAAAACGTCGGTAAACCGGGTTGAAACGTTTAGATACAATTACGGTAAATCTCGGGAACATGTAAAGCTACATAACGGGTGGAAGAGTAACTGGAAAGCACTTGTGAGGCTTTAGTTGTCCCTCAAACGATAATGACTTCAACACTTTATAAATGTGTAAAATTTTAGAAAAATGTTTGCATAAATAATAGACACATTAAAAAAAGAAAAACATGAAAGTAGTCGAAGTAAATGGAAATTTGTTAAAAGAGTGGATCAATAAAGGAAACCCAAAAAGCTCCAGAAAGTATAGCGCCAACTTTGAAATAGCTTAGGAAAATTTATAAGATAACAGTTGTTGATGTTAAAATCAAGGTTTATTTTCATCGAGTTTTTATTTAAATCCTTGCAGCCCGTTTTAGCACGTCGAAGCCAAACAACCTTTGTTATACTTACAAACAAATTCAGAAGAAATCAGTCACGAAGTATACTTCATTTACTTTCTCTAGCGATGTGCCCCTTCCAATGTCTTGGATGCGCACTGGCAAAATCGTAGGTATGGAGAAAAAAGCTCATTATACTCTCGATTTTTTCATACAGTACCTGCCAAAAGTTTTTTTCAATCATGAATAGTAATCCGAGTCGAAAACAAGCGTTAAAGTCTTTAATATGTCTTAAAATATAAATAAATATCTCCTTGATATTTTCAGTAGTAATTGGTACCAATAACGGCACATTTGAGCAATGCAATTGTAGTGGATAAAATGGTCAATTTTTCCGTGCAGTACTGTACGGATTATACGCTCCTCACCGGTCAAGAGTTTGGCCGAGAGTTGTCTTCTTCCTTTTCTGGCCTAGTGCTGTTCTTTTCTACTTTGCGCCGGTCAAACTGAAGGTCACATCGCTACAGAAAGTAAACGAAGTATACTTTTATATGTTTATGTATGTGTGGGCCAAATGAGATTGGCACTACAAATTTGGGGAAAAATGTTTACGTAATTTCTTTGGGAAATTTAGTTATTAATTTAATTTATCGTTTTTACAGGTATGGGAGTCCCCATCACAGCCGTTCTCAATCAGTTAAAACTCCAGGAAGATCATCCGGTCGTCCAAATTACCTGTGTCTTCCACAACAAAGGTCGAGGGTAGCGTCAATGCCAAACACAGGGGTGGAAGAAGAATACTACCGTCTCAGACACTTTTCAATTACTGGGAAAGGAATTGTCAATAGAGGAGACAGTTTGAAAAGCAGGAGATCTCGTTCAAACAATTCCGTAGCTTCAAGTAACTCAAGGTAAATTTCTGAGTTTTCATTTTCTTTTGTTTTACATGTTTGAGTGTGTCAGTTGTTCTGACAAAAACAATTCGTACATATTCAGAAGACTTTCAAAGCGCCAAACGGTTTCCGATGTTTATTAAATTCCAATAATTTTGCCTTTTGGGTATTTTATTATTTCCTCTTGCTCTCTTCGTAAATATGTATCTTTAATAAATTTTTCTTTTATTCCAGCATAAATATCTTTCAATTCTAGTAACAATAATTTAGTTTCGCTTCCAAATACATCATATTTTGAAAGTAACATTTTAATGAAATTTGTAATTTAAATTCGCTGATTGTAAACAACCGTGCTCCCTACAAATTTACTTGACAAACACAAGACACCACACAGTTCGCAGGTTTAAGACCGTTTGATATCATATTTTGTTTTAATCTCTCAATTAAGCGTCACAGTCGTTGCTGAACTGGCATAAATCCTCTTTGCAGAGGACAAATTCATGTAAACTGACTTTATTTACACCGTCTACACGTCTTTAGCAATGTAATTCGCAATTCATGTCGAAAGCAGTTTACACTAATATACTTATGTGCTGACGTAGTTTCTAAAAGTTTTGTCAGTATCATAGTAAACAACCTCCCCCGTATACTCTAGGGGTAGCTCTGTTTCACCGTCTCGAAAGAGCTCAATCATAAAAGCAGTTTTAATACCTATTTAATGTAAATATGAAATTCTCTTAAAATGTTTTGAAAAGAACGTAAAAACCCTTAAAGGTGCGAGTAGTCTAGGATGGTTTACAGAGAAGCAGTTTATATTTTCAGGTATAGACGTGGTTGTGTTAGATACCATCTCTTTTATTCTATCACCCTGTACATTAATACTAGAATTAATAGTCTGAGAATATTAAACATTTAGAGATAAATAAATGCAAATTGTTTGTTTTCATTTTGAGAAATCATCAAGGGAATGTTTGCTTTCGATACAAAATTGTAATACTTAATTTTGATATTTAGGGAAACTTTCAGAAACAAAGACAAGACTTTGATAATTACGTATAACTTTTGTAAACGAAAACTAGTATAAAAACTCAGTTTTGTTAAATAATAGCCAGTGTTAGAGTTAGATTAGCTATCGACAGGAGTAATCTCTGCCAGTTTTTGTTTGTACATGAAATTCAGTTAATTTAGCTTTATAGTTGATGTTACACTTATTTTTGTTTCCATTTTGATAAAATTATCCTGTACATACACGTATAAAAATACTGTTTGGTGTCGGAGGTATACAATAGTTGAAAAACATATTCCATACGTTCACCAACAGATTATGCATTTTCGCTCGGGTCAAGAAATGTACAATTTCTATGCTCGGTGAATATTTTGCCGTACCTGTATACAGGGTGAACCAAAAAGTACGCAATATGCTCATTGCAAGGAAGTTGTAAATTCAAACAAAAAAACTTTTCAAACAAAACTTGCTCCCAATTTTAATGCATGATGGTCTGTATTATCTAAAATCCATTTACTATGCAGAGTGTTCTAAATTAGGAAATAGAAGATTTCGTTTAAACGCAAAACGATATTCAAATATGTTGTGATTCCGTTCAATTGATTTGACTCGAAAAAAAACATCTGAATATCACCGCGATGTTTTTTGCATACGTCCATAGTTTTGCCATTTAAACGAAATCTTCTATTTCCTATTTTTGAACACCCTTTATGGTAAATGGAATTTAGATAATACAAACGATCTTGCATTAAAATAGGGAGCAGGTTTTGTTTGAAAAGTTCTTTCGTTTAAACTTACAGTTTGACTGCAATATTGCGTACTTTTTGGGTCACCCTGTAGATACAGGATAATAAAGGTTCCCGGCTGTGTGCGCATTAAGTATTCAGACATAAATTAAACGTGGAACAGACAAAGGTTGTAAATGCGATGCGGTTTTAAACTAAATTAATTCACTTATGTACGTATGTGCAAGGCTGCCTTTCTATCCGCTTTTTACCTCCTTCAAAAACGAACTTTTCATTACTCTTATTTTTGAATAAACATTGTACGTTATACCGGATTAAATGCTTTCATATATGTGTAGTTTGAAAGATTAATGATGTTTCCAAACAATTTGAAGACGATATCATGCTGATATCACACATTGTAATCTATAGGGGCGGAGCAGATATAAAAAATTCAATAGAAATTCACAAACATGAGTAAACAAGGACTAACCCATAAAATTTTCAAAAGAAACAATTTTGTTAAGACGGTTTCTTCTGTAATATAACTCATCGAAAAAGAAAAAGGCTTTTACAATATATTTAGTAATCAAAGTAACATATTTTACATATCATCATGATAAGGTTGTCAGTCCTAAGACCGGTTGGACACGCACCTCCACATTTTCCTATCTGCAGCTAATCTTCGCATTTCCCTAAAACTAGAACAACCCACATCCTTAACTATTTGCGAACAGTAATCTAATCTAGGTCTACCTCTACCCCTCCTAACTACCGTTTCTGTCTCTAATATGTCTCTGACTAGACCTTCATGCCTGAGAAGGTGTTCTGCTAACCTATCTCGCCTATTTCTTATTGACTTCCGTAGAGTCCTCTGTTCTCTTACTCTTTCTAATACCTCTCCATTTCTGACCTTTTTTACCCACGTTATCCTCATCATTCGCCTATAACACCACATTTCGAAGGCTTCTAACCTTTTCTTTCCCGCCGCGCCCACTGCCTATGTTTCGCACCCGTACAACGCCGCGCTGCAAACATACACCTTTAACAATCTTTTTCGAATTTGTAAATTAACCGTTCGCGAGCATAGAAGTGACATCCTTTTATTGAAGGCGACTCGACCCTGCGTTATCCTCTGCTTTATATCCCTACTACTCCTTCCATCCTCACTTATCAGACTTCCTAGATACTTTAAATCAGCCACTTCTTCTAATTTTTCGTCTCCTATCTTTATCTTACTTTTCTTTCCCGTGCATACCAGTATTTTTCTTTTACTTTTATTTATTTTCATACAGTACTGTTTTGTCAATACCGCATCCATTTTATTTAAAGCTATCCCTAACTCCTCCTTGCTAGATGCTAATACTGCTATATCATCTGCAAATCTAAGCATACTAATCTTTTGTCCCTCTATATCTATCCCTACAGTTGTACTGTCTTTAATGACGTTGATCGCGTCTTCGATGTATAGATTAAAAAGTAGCGATGATAGTGTGCATCCCTGTCTGACTCTCTTCCTAATATTTATTTCCTACATTGCAGCCCCATCTCTATAACTACTACTAGTATTATTTTCTGCTGCATCCTTGCTCATATTTCCTTTAATGATAACATGTCCTCTTATATAATAGAATTGAAGAGAGGTAAGTGACTTGTAGAAGAGATTTCTTTTGAGAGTCAGCTAAACTGCTTAGGGTGCAATCTTTGAGTAAATTGAATCACTTTGCTAAGTTTCTGACGCATAAAATGTCTAACTAGGTTTTGCCAAAGTACTTACTGTGGGATAGTGGCGCTCTAGCACTATTACATTTTATAAAGGACAATTTTGTTACTTTACTATTCGCTGTGGTATCTACCTCTAAAGTATTTCATTATTAAGATGATGGTTTCTCAGAAACGATTTTTATACATAGGATTCTCAACTTCAGCTTTAAAGTTCATACTCTTTTTAACGATATTGAAAAGACATTATTCCAACCAAATGTTGTATGTTTTTCACAAAAGATTATTTTTATCAGGTCCTTGTTTTAGAAGTTTTTTTTTTAATTTCTCTTTAGTTGCCTTTAAATTTGTAAGTTTCAGATAGTTTTCTAGGTTTTTATCCTTTTTGGTGATAGATATAGACGAAGGATTGTGTGTCTTGTATTATTATATTTGTTATTTCCTTGTTCGACAAATTCATATTTCTTCTCAATTATTGTCTTAACATAAACCTTAAAGCCTAAATACCAAATTTTTCAGTATTTCGTCCTTCTTAGCAGTACAGGGAGGTTAATATATGATGTTAAATATTTAAAAATTAATATGTTGATGTTCGTGATCTCCTAGAAAATTATATCTATCAGTTTCATGTAAAACGAACTTCATTTTATCAAAATCTGTTTCATTTGTCTTTAAATCTTAAAATTACAAATTTTTTGCTTCGTCTTTTTAAGTAAATATTTTTGAAATAGGCTTCTTCTTTACTACAATTTCATTAAACATTACAAAGTATTCGCAAATTTGATAATCTCCCTGCAATGCGACTAATGTCGGAGGTAAGGAAGATAATAATTAGTTTTCCAATCTGTTTAACTGACTTTCACCCCCTCGGATTCCTTTCCGCGTATTAATAAATAGGTAACGGTTAATGGAGACGTTTTATCTATCCGTGTTTTAGCAAGATTACCTTCAGGAATTTATTTAACGTAGCGAACAAGCGTTTGCCACGCGATTTGTTTAAGGGTTTATTCGAGCTGATTAACTACAAACATATGAAATCGATACGCCATTAAAATGGCCGGCTGTCCTAAATAATCGTTGAAACGCGAGATTCTGTCGACTCTATTCACCAATGTACGTATGTATTTATCTATCTAATTCATAGGTATCTACGGATATTTCAATAAATATACCCATGCGGTAATTTTCTAGCAAAACCTGTCGGATGAAAGCACTTGTATATGTATAACGTCCTTTAACATCATCATTTACGTATTCAATTTTTAACAAAATGCGAGTTGAATGAAAAGTAAGTTTTCAGTAGAGAAAATATTTGTTTGGTTCTTAGTTAGAAAGTCAGGAAATTCAGTATGGAAGGAATACAAAAAAAGTCACTTCTATGGTCGCGAACGGTTTATTTAGAAATTCGAAAAAGGTTGTTAAAGGTGTATGTTGTACGGGTGCGAAGCATGGACGGTGGGCGCGGCGAGAAAGAAAAGGTTAGAAGCGTTTAAAATGTGNGTTCTCCTACTCTTTCTAATACCTCTTCATTTCTAACTTTCTCTATCCACGGTATCCTCATCATT